TCCTTGATCTCTTTATGTGAACAACCGAAAAGTATTCTATTTTGGCCGGCCTTCAGAAACTCACTACAAAAGTTTTTTATAATTCCCTATTCAGTAGATTTGTATCTTTTGCTTTGTTAATAGCATTCAGAGTTCATTATTATCATGGAACTGCTTGGGAAATGGAGTAGATTGACTGAGATATAAAATTGCAAAACTGTAGCTCTGGAAGAGACCGCTCTGGGGTTTCTTCCAGATCTACAGTTTTGCAATTTTATTTCTCAGTCAATAAAGCAATAGCCCTTAATTTAGCCTGCTTGAGCACCATGGGGAATAGTGAGATCTGTTGGAGATCCCTTATTCAGATGGTCTCCATAAGCCAAAATCATCTTGAAGGCACATAAAAACTACTATAATGACCTGACGGCTGGGGTGGCATTGCCCACTCAATGAATGGATGTCGGCGATTCATGGGTGCGCGCTGACATTTCACCAGATCACCTTCCTGTTGGATCATGTCCACTATCTCTTGGATCCAGGTTGTACCTTGGAAGGGTGAGAAAAGGGGGAGGGAAATCAGTATTCAGATATACAGCATTATGCATGTTCATATGTGATCGAGGTTGGGCACAAAGATCAGCTACACTCGATATGCATTAGGGTCATTTTACCAATAGTTAGTGGTTTCCAATGCTGTGTGCTGTCTCAATGCCTCAAAGCAGGGGTTCTATAAATGTTTTTTAGCTGCAGAGCCTTTTCTGAAGCAAAAGTTTTTTGTGGAGCCCCAATAAATGTTTATATATTATATTATATATAATGTGTATATATCAGGCATGAGCAAAGTTTGTGACCAACATAAACTTAACAATATTTCAGTGGAAGACACTGGGTGGCATCCAGTCCAACTCCCTTCTGCCATGCAGGAAAAACACAATCAAAGCACCCCCTTCAGATGGCTACCCAGCCTTTGTAGTACCGGTACTACTACTAGTAATAATAATAATAATAATAATAATAATAATAATAATAGTAGTAGTAGTAGTAATAGTAGTAGCAGCAGCAGCAGCAGCAGCAGCAGCAGCAGCAGCAGCAGAAACTCCAGGGGCCATCCAGTTCAACTCCCTTCTGCCATGCAGGAAAAGCACAATCAAAGCACACCCAACAGATGGCCACCCAGCTTTTGTAGCAATCTTCCCTCAGCATGGTCACTGGCAATGTTGGCTGGAGATTTGGGAAAACCTTTCCAAGCCTTGCTTCTTCTGCAGCCAGTTGGCAGTGATGCTGCTCTTACAGACTGGACATTATTTGTCCCAATGCCCTTACCTGCTTTGGGGTAGGTGCAAATGAGAAGGTCATCAGGCTTTGCTTGGAAGTTCTGGATCCTGACCCATTCATCGCAGGTGGTTTTTTCCAGGAGAATGCCATCTATTTCACCTAGCTGGGGGCGCTCCATTGGTTTAAGATCTTGCCCTTTTTCTCTGAACATGGTTTACAAACTGTTAAATGACAGAAAAGGAGAGGCAAAATGGTTTGAGTAAAAGCACATTTCTCTATATTGATCTTAGCTTTGAGAGAACAAATCATACTTCGACAAAACTCACCAAAATTGGTGTAAATTTAGTTAGTCAGGACTACAGCCATGGAACAACAGACTGGTTCAGGATAGGGAAAGGTTTACGGCAGGGTTATATACTCTCACCCAACCTATTCAACTTGTATGCAGAACACATCATGTGATGTGCGGGGCTTGACGAATACAAGGCTGGGGTTAAAATAGCTGGAAGAAACATTAACAACAGATATGCAGATGATACCACTGATGGCCGAAAGCGAGGAGGAGCTGAGGAGCCTTCTAATCAAGGTGAAAGAAGAAAGCGCAAAAGCTGGGTTGCAGCTAAACATAAAAAAACCTCAAGATTATGGCAACAAGAATGATTGACAACTGGGAAATAGAGGGAGAAAACGTGGAGGCCGTGACAGACTTTGTATTTCTAGGTGCAAAGATTACTGCAGACGCAGACTGCAGCCAGGAAATCAGGAGATGCTTACTTCTTGGGAGGAGAGCAATGTCCAATCTCGATAAAATAGTGAGGAGTAGAGACATCACACTGGCAACAAAGATCTGCATAGTTAAAGCAATGGTATTCCCCGTAGTCACCTATGGATGTGAGAGATGGACCTCAGGGAAGGCTGAGTGAAGGAAGATAGATGCTTTTGAACTGTGGTGTTGGAGGAAAGTTCTGAGAGTGCCTTGGATTGCCAGAAGATCCAACCAGTCCATACTTCAGGAAATAAAGCCCGACTGCTCATTGGAGGGAAGGATAGTAGAGGCAAAGATGAAGTACTTTGGCCACATCATGAGAAGAAAGGAAAGCTTAGAGAAGACAATGATGCTGGAAAATGGAAGGAAAAAGGAAGAGGGGCTGACCAAGGGCAAGATGGATGGCATCCTTGAAGTGACTGGATTGACCTTGAAGGAGCTGGGGGTGGTGACGGCTGAGAGGGAGCTCTGGCTTGGGCTAGTCCATGAGTTCATGAAGAGTTGGAAATGACTGAACATATGAACAACAACGATGACTACAGCCAACTGTGAAAAATGCCAAAACATGCTCGTTATTTTTCTCTCATACACACATAGTTCACGCAGTAGCACAGGCTATGGTGACTCGTAATTTGCTTAGGCACACTTTGTGAAAACACTCCCTGAAAATGCAAACAAATCCTTGGTCATATTAATAATTATTGTTCATTCAAAATAACACTCTCAGGGACCCCAAGTTTTACAACCCTTCTGGATTAATTTCTTCTACCTTTTGTCCATGATGTGTTGATGCAGAATTTCAAAGACTTCTGGATAACTCTTTCTTGCTCAGTGTAAGAAAAAAATTGGCACATAATTGGTCAGGAATCTCAAAAGGCTTGGAGGGTTCCTCCCCAAAGGAAGTGGATCAAAGGTTTCTACAAATCTTTCACTGCAGTTAAATGCTTGGCTTGCAGGAGCTGGCCTTGTGACAGAACTGACTGTGATAGGCCCAAGCCATTGTGGGTTGTCTGGTGAGAAAGAGAAGCCAATATTGCAAAATAAAGGAGTGATATATATCAGCATAACTTTTATGAATTTAAGACCACTTCTTAAGACGCATAAATATTTTCTGAGCATTTCTGCTGCAACAGGAAACCTGAAAATATGTATTTGGGGTAGTCAGGGGAAAGGGCTTGAGGATTTTACATAGATCCTGACTCCCTTCCTTGTATAACTGTGAAATAACAACAGGGAATACCTCAAAAAGTGTGGGCTGGCAACAGAATGAGAACAGGTAATACATTGGAATAAGTAGCTGTATAAGCTGTTTTCTACTTGTTACCTCATCACACTAGAGCATGGATCCACTTTAAATCTGGTTTCTGTCTCCTGCAGAATTCTGGGGTATGTAGTTTAGTGAGGCCCAGGACCTGCCTGGTTGAGCAGTTTAAAGATCTGTCCCTAAACTACAAGTCTCAGAATTCTGCAGGAGGCAGAAACCAGATTTAAAGTGGATCCATGCTTTAGTGCAGGGGTCCCCAGACTACGGCCCGCAGGCCAGACCCGGCCCCCTGAGGGCATTTATCCGGCCCGCGGGGTGTGGAGAAGCGGCAGGCAACACAGCCCCAAAGCCTCACCGCCTGCCACCTCCCCTGCCTTCTCCCGGCATCAGGATGAGGCGAGACTCCGTCCTGAAGCCCGGAGAAGGCGGGGCCGGCCTGGGGAGAGGGCGGGCGGCGCGGGTCATGGGCGTTCTGTGTGGGTTATGGGCGTTCTGTGTGGGAAGTCTGGCCCAGTTCTATCATTGGTGGGGTTCAGAATGCTCTTTATTGTTGGTGAACTATAAATCCCAGTAACTACAACTCCCAAATGTCAAGGTCTATTTCCCCAAACTCCATCAGTTTGGGCATATTTAGTATTTGTGCCAAGTTTGGTCCAGATCCATCATTGTTTGAGTCCACAGTGCTCTCTGGATGTAGGTGAACTACAACTCCAAAACTCAAGGTCAATGCCCACCAAACCCTTCCAGTATTTTCTGTTGGACGTGGGAGTTCTGTGTGCCAAGTTTAGTTCAATTCCATCATTAGTGGAGTTCAGAATGCTCTTTGATTGTAGGTGAACTATAAATCCCATCTCCTAAATGACAAAATCAACCCTCCCCCAACCCCACCATCATTCAAATTTGGGCGTATCGAGTATTTGTGCCAAATTTGGTCCAGTGAATGAAAATACATCCTGCATATCAGATATTTACATTACAATTCATAACAGTAGCAAAATTACAGTTCTGAAGTAGCAACAAAAATAATTTTATGGTTGGGGGTCATCACAACATGAGTAACTGTATTAAGGGGTCGCGGCATTAGGAAGGTTGAGAACCACTGATCTATGGCAAGCATCCTCAGAGGTTGTTAGGTGACAACAATCCTATCTCTTCAGCCAAAAGCAGGCCCACACTTCCCATTGAAATACTAATAAGCTTATATCTGTTAAAATTGTTCTTTATTTATTGTATTGTTTTAAAGTGTTTTTTTGCACTACAAATAAGATATGTGCAGTGTGCATAGGAATTCATTCATTTTTTTTCAAATTATAATCCGGCCCTCCAACAGTTTGAGGGACTGTGACCTGGCCCTCTGTTTAAAAAGTTTGAGGACCCCTGCTTTAGTGTGATGAGGTCCTTGATCAATTGAAATCTGAATGTACACTTTTAAATATGAGAACATTTGGCAGAAATGCGATATTTACATTGAAAAAAAAACTCATCTACAAGTACAAAGACATGTCTTGCTTTCTCCTGTGTACCCTTATCAGGAAACTAGTGACTGGGTCATTTTTGAAGAGCCTAAACTGCAAAATCCAGGAGGTGAGTGCAATCAGGAAGAAAAAGCAGAATTCCTATATGCACAAGGGAACCGTTATATAAACAAAGGGGGCTACATGAGATTTTTTAAAAGGCTTTTTTATTTGAAATCATAAGGGTCTACAGACCTGCTAGAAAAAAAAATTAGACTACTGAGGACAGAGCTGAGCTGCACTCTGTTTTACAGGCAATGTTTTTGGGATTCCCAGCACTGGCACTTTGGACCTCAGAGTTCCATTGAGAAAGTCAGGGTTGTGCCTGCCATCTTCTTTTTGTAGTCTTCATTGAATCTCTCATTCTGAGCAACTGTGAAATGGTTCTTCCAATCACCAACTGTCCCTGTAAGACAAACCCATACAATCCACTAAAATATAATTGCAACACTATTCTTGAAAATCCACAGTAAGGGAGATAAACATTTTAATGTTTTCCTCTATTCACACTACCTTGAATATGAGTTAACATTAGCAATTCCACAGAGAAAGGGCTCCATTGAAAATGGAACGTATTTGTTTTCTGCTTTTCTTGAGACTAGACTAGAAGCAATAGATTCAAACTGTATCAAAAAATAGTCCACCTAATGGTAACTGCTATTTGACAGTGCAACATGCTGCCTGTAACAAGTCTCCTTTTTTGTTTTAAAAATAGAAACTAGATAGGCATCTGACAGGAAACTTTTTATTGTGTGTTTCTGTAAGGCATGAAGTTGGTATCTGTGGCCTTTTCTCTCTCTATGATTCTTTACTATGTCTTCACTTAATTAGAAGATATAGAATTTTGTATTATGGTGTACATTACATAGCATTTATATTTAGTTATGTAGCATAGGCACTAAAACACAGTGAATTACAAAGATGTGCAATGTGACACAAGAAAGAATGTTCTGAGTAGTATCAATACTTCCTAGTCAGTGTACCAATAGAAATGTTAAACCTAAGTGCATTGGTCTCCATGTGCATGGATCCCTTCGTTGCCTCCCCTATAGAGAAAATGAACAGCATTCCTTTACTGCATATTACAGACCTCAATTCTAATTCCCACTGACATAAATCCATACAAACATAAGTACCCAAGAGAATCGCATCCAACTTTAGATACTGAAAAACAATTTCCTTCAGGTGAAATAAATGGCAGAGGAGGAAGAGTCATACCTTTCCTCATGAATGGAGAAATGGACTGGTCCATGACTGTAATGGGCACTCCAGCCCGGTTGGCCATGGGGTTGTCCTTCATGACTTCAAATGAGGTATGGTGGACAATTTTATCCAGCGTTGCTACATCTAGTTGCTTCCCAACAAATTGCATCACTTTCTGGATTTCATATTTTGGGTTCTGTGGACAGAGAGATAATCTTAGTAGCAGCAATAATAGATGGTGGAAACAGGAGAAAACCAAGGCAAAAGAGCCCTATGGTCTTCTAGAAAATGCTGCAGACAGATGGATAAGGATTCAGTATTTTACATGATTTTCTGAAAACCCTGTGATGAACTCTAATTAAACATTTGCTCTTCTATCCAGCCCAAATGAAGATCCAAAGAACCAACCTTTGTAGGTTTTGCTTTCTGTTAAAAAGCTATACAAGAGAATTCCTATTTGAGAAATTCACTTTTGCAAGATTGGTATCATCTAGTTTCTGAATGCAGATTAACTGTATTGAACTGGATTATATGACAGTGTAGACTCATATAATCCACATGAGTCCAAAGCAGTTTATCTGCATTCAAAATTGATTAAACGGCAGTGTCAATGGGGCTCAAGTCTTCATCCAGCCTGTTGTCTTGCTGAAAGAGAGGCTGATGAGGCAGAATAGCTCTTCTTCTTAAGACTACCCATTGCTCTTGTTAAGACTGAAGGAGGGCCCATGTACACAGGACTGAAAACCCAGAAGCAAGTGGGATAAAAGGGGAGGGGCGGCTACAAAATGCACAACCAGTGTGCAATTGGTCACGAAAGGGCATGGAAAACACATGATAAAAAGTTTTGAAAAACTCCAATATTGGGTGAAAAGGAGCTGCAGTAGAGCACTGTATATCCCAGCGCTCCTCCCCAAAATGAGAGTTCCTAGCACTACACTGGTGCAGACTGTTCCAGTACTTAACTTCATTTTAAAATCCCAAAACAGCTGATGAAGGGATATAAACAGATGGAGCCAAAAATACACAGGTGGGTAAATGGAAGCACGAAAGGAAAGCAATTTCCATGGGAAAACTCTCCAGCCATGCCTTTGTTCTCATTTCCTGTGTGTTACTGAAACGGAGCTTGGGATGACACAGTGGGCACCAGCATGTAAAATTGGATTCAGGAGTGCAAACCTGGAGGAACCAAGAGTGAGGGTGAGAAGAGATGATGACAGAAAATCCGCTTATGCGCACTTTGTTATATCCGCATCTGCGCTGCAATATTGGCAAAATGCTTACATAGGATAAATAGTTCTTCTTAGGTTTGCTCACCTTTTTGATATTTTCATAGAAGAGGTAGAGCACACGGTGGGTGTCCTTTGCCTTCCACCAGCCTTTCACATGATCGTACCATGGGCCCCAGCCCACTAGAAGACATAGGGGAGTACATTGAGATGGTAAAGTCTACAGTGAAAAGTCCCATAAGAAGGAGGTCTACACTTAAGTGGGGAAAGCCTCCACAAAACGTTAGGAAAAACAAAGGCTTAGTTGCATCTTATACATTATTCTGCACACATGTTGAAAAATAGTCCTTAGGTCGTCTTTGATGGTCATATTGACTAAAGAATTCTAGGAATTTAGTACACAAAAAGAACATTTCTAAGTTATGTGAAAATGACACTGATAGTAGAGCTAGATTCAATTTCAGAAAAGTTCTGGAATATATCTGGTGGTGGACAAAGGATGGGAATAAAAATACTCTCAGATTTTAGCATACAGCTCTTATTGCCTTTCAAACTTTTAGAATGGGTGGGTGGGGGGGTCTGGGAAATAAACCAATGTCAGACAGAAAGGACATGGCCATATAATGTACCCATATAGCATGGTTTGGTTCAAGGGGCCATTTTAGGTCTATGAGAGGCTTTTCTTACCAAAAGGAAGTAAGCAGGGATCTCTTTTGGTTCACTTTGTATTGTAGGTTTGCAAAAAATTAGTTAAAGCTCCCTCCATGATTTCTTTTTGAGATTTCTGTCAAAAATATTTTAGAATTATTCTTAGGCCACCTAAATGACTACATCACACAGCTTGCACTTTGCTCAATATAAATAAACAGGCCAAATAAAATACTTGGACATTATATCATTTTTGCATGTTTTCTCAACAGATAATTCTCCAAAGGAAGATAAGAATATATATATATATATATATATATATATATATATATATATATATATATATATATAGTTTTCCTCACCTTTTCCTGCCATAAATGCCTCAAAATATTCATCCCATGTTCCTGGGTCAGGAACCAACTTGCTCATCCTTTGGAAGTGGAAATAGGACACCATGCAGTCCTTGGCATTCCTTGCCACATAAAGAAACTAATAGGTAGAGAAAGAGAGAAAACGTTTCTTTACTTAACTGCAAGATAAGTCTAATTCTCCCCACGAAACTCAGAGCAACCTATACCAGGTGTCCTGGAAGTGAAAGGGGGTGACTGCATTAACTTTAGGAGCAGAATATCACTGTGAGACGACAGACAACACAGACCACATGAAGATTAAAGGAAGCTGAAAGTCTATTAGAAAACCCTCTGAGAAGACACAATATGTTTAACAACAAATCATGTACTACTGACACGTTTACTCACATGGGATAAATGGTAAAGGTCAGAAACTAAAAGTGAAACCAAAAGGTACTATCATGTATCACTAATCATCTTTCTGTACAACCATCTTTCTCCCAAAGTGAAACCTGACAGCTTTTAGTGCTAGTGCTGTGTAATGGGCCCCAAGTCAGGAATGCCAAGGCAAACAGACAAGTAAAAATAGAAAGCATTTGCTCCACCTAGTGATCTAAATCTAATTTGCAATCCATCTACTGAAGGTTGCCCAATAAGGGCCAAAATAGTTGGGACAGTGATTTCATCAAGGCAATTAACATAAAGAGCTCTGCATAAATCTAATTAGCAGAGGCACTAAGAAACTCGGTTACTAAATTGTGAATTGGGATATTGGAAGGAATGCCCAATGTACATTGGTTGCCCCATCCCCAATATGATGTGCCCTGGGCACCAATGCATATCGGGCACTTTCTCAACTCAGCTATTTGGCAATGTTACAGTAGCACTCTGCTGGATATGAATTCCACTTATAAAGATGCAACGTCACAACAGGTATCTCTCAATTAGTCTTTAGTGGCATTCACAAGAGGCAGTCCCCGAGTTATAAACATCTGATCTTTAATTGTTTATTATGTTATTGTTTTAATTGTTTTTTAATTGTTTTTATGATGTTGAGCATTGAATTTTGCTATTGTTAACCGCTTTGAGTCGCCTAAGGGCTGAGAAAAGCGGTATATAAATGAAGTAAATAAATAAATACGTACGTTCAACAGAGTTAAGAATGGGAGTGAGACAACAAGAAGTGAGAGAAATCTACACCTCGAAGGGGAAGTCACTCCCCTTATCATGGGGAAAAGCTGTCCACTGAAGCTTTTTCACCAATCCTTGTTTCCACCATAGGCCATTTTTTTTTCAAAATCCAATTATCACAGGGACAGAAAGTGAGGTGGAATCTTCTGAACACAGACAGCAAAGCAAACATCACAGGGGTGTTAACCCTTCTCTTTGCTATCCAAAGCTTTATATCTTTTAGTACAGGCAGTTCCCAAGTTACTAACAAGCTAGATTTTATAGGTTTGTTCTTGTGTGTGTGTGTGTGTGTATGTATGTATGTATGTATGTATGTATGTATGTATGTATGTATATAGAGTTAGCTAAGCAGCAGAGGCACTAAGAAACTCAGTTGCTGAATTGTGAATTGGGATATTGGCAGGAATGCCCAACATATATTCGTTGGTCAATATATGACTGGAATTACACTAAACATATACCTGTTCTGACTTACATGCAAATTCAACATAAGAACAAACCTATAAAATCTAGCTTGTTAGTAACTTGGGAACTGCCTGTAGTAAAAGATGTTCTCATTAATTTATTAAATAATTTAAAGAAAAATGGAAGTAACATTATCTAAAATTGTTTCTCAGCAAATTAGGCTATACACTTGCCTGTAAGCCAACTTCATGTATAAGTCAAGGGCAGGTTTGGGAACCTAAATTATGGTTTGTAATATGACTCATGGATACAACATGGGTCATTCCAGAGAGGGGCGAAAGTGCCAATGTTGCTTCAGGGGACCAATCAATGTTGGCCATTGCCCATTCAAAAAAGGACAGAATCAATCAGAGTGAGGGGAGTAGAGGAGACTGGTGCTTCTTTGAGATTCTTCCAGGGCGGATGAAGCTCTTACCTTCTGCTTCTTTACAAAGGAAAAGTTAATAATTACTCAAAGTTAACAGCATAGGAAAATAATGGCCTAAGTAACTACCGTACATTTTAAAGTTGTTAAATATGGTGTCACATTTTTAAAAAAACTGATAACATCAACAGAAGTAAAGCCAATTATTTTAAACAAATTATTTTCAAATGCTATCAATGGCAGAACCTCAACCTCCACCACTCACTTTGCAGTTTTGCTCCCAAAAGGACCGAGGGAGCAACTGCACAGGCAGATGGGTTTTCAGAATCCGTGGAGAGGGCATTGCTTCTGCTTGGTCAATCCCTGTTGAAAGAAGCAAAGCACTAAGGTCACAGTGGAAATTGCCAATCATTACTTCTCGGAAGTTAAGACTCTGTGAAAATTGGTTTCTTTAATACCACATTCACAGGTATGAGTTCTCTCTCAAGGGTTTTGCAACACTGCTAAAGATATGCTATTAAAAATTATTAACTTTCTTCTCTATTTGCTATAGAATTGTCCTCAGGTTTGCTTTGACTGTGTATTGAAGAGAGCAAGAATGCCCAGAAGTTGCTAAAATTTCCTTCATTGGAGGAAATAAATGACACATTGCTACCCAATACCCATCGTGGATATTTTAACTATGGACTTAGTTTCCGGCTATCTCAAGGACGATGACTTCAGTCTTGTTAATTACTCCATCTAAATGGTGAGTCACACATAGGTAAATCCAATTGATTCAATTAATCTGCCCAAACAGAATTCAGGCCTATATTTTTCTCTATTAAGTTGCCTGGTTGTATATCTTTGGCAGATGCCCTTCTTTTCATCCAATCTATCATCTTCACAGGCATATCTTATGGAAACATACTGAGAAGAGGACTTTCTTGAAAGCTGTTCTCAGGTTTCTGGACTCCTTAATGTAGCTTAGGATGTCTTCCTCCTGATCTCTTTACGTGAACAAGCTAAAAGTATTCTATTTTGGCCAGCCTTCAAAAACTCACTACAAAGGCTTTTTATAATTCCCTGTTCAGTAGATTTGTATCTTTTGCTTTATTAATAGCATTCAGAGTTCATTATTATAATGGAACTGCTTGGGAAATGGAGCAGATGACCTCTGAGGTCTCTTCCAGATCTACAGTTTTGCAATTTTATATCTCAGTCAATAAAGCAATAGCCCTTAATTTAGCCTGCTTGAGCACCACGGGGAATAGTCAGATCTGTTGGAGGTCCCTTATTCAGATGGTCTCCATAAGCCAAAGTCATATTGAAGGCACATAAAAACGACTATAATGACCTGATGGCTGGGGTGGCCTTGCCCACTCAATAAATGGATGTCGGCGATTCAGGGGCGCGCGCTGACATTTCACCAGATCACCTTCCTGTTGGATCATGTCCACTATCTCTTGGATCCAGGTTGTACCTTGGAAGGGTGAGAAATGGGGGAGGAAAATCAGTATCCAGATATACAGTATCATGCATGTTCATATATGATCTAGCTTGGGCACAAAGATCAGCTACACTCAGTATGCATTAGGCTCATTTTACCAATAGATAGTGGTTTCCAATGCTGTGTGCTGTCTCAATGCCTCAAAGCAGGGGTTCTTAAAAAATGTTTAGCTGCGGATCCCTTTCTGAAGTAAAAGCTTTTTGTGGAGTCCCAATAAATGTTTATATATTTATTATATATACTGTATATACATATATCACATGAGCAAGTTTCTGAACCAACACAAACATAACCTTATTTCCGTGGAAGACCTGGTGGCATTCGCCCACCTGCCTTCTGCCGTATAGAAAAACCACAATCAAAGCACTCCCCACAGGTGGCCACTCAACCTTTGTAATAATAATATTAATAGGAGCAACCCCAGGGACCATCCAGTTCAACCCTCTTCTGCCATATAGGAAAAGTACAAAGCACCCCCAACAGATGACCGCCTACCCTTTGCAGTAGTAGTAGTAGTAGTAGTAGTAATAATAATAATAGAAATCCCAGGTACCATCCCAAGTTCAACTCCCTTCTGCCATGCAGGAAAAGAACAATCAAACCACACCTAACAGATAGCCACCCAGCCTTTGTAGCAGTCTTCCCTCATCATGGTCACTGGCATTGTTGGCTGGAGATTTCGGGAAACCTTTCCAAGCCTTACATCTTCTGCAGCCAGTTGGCACTGATGCTGCTCTTACAGACTGGACATTATTTGTCCAAATGCCCTTACCTGCTTTGGGGTAGGTGCAAATGAGAAGGTCATCTGGTTTTGCTTGGAAGTTCTGGATCCGGTTCCATTCATCACAGGTGGTTTTTGCCAGGAGAATGTCATTTATTTCACTTAGCTGGGGACGCTCCATTGGTTTAAGATCTTGCCCTTTTTCTCTGGACATGGTTTACAAACTGTTAAATGGCATAAAAAGAGAGACAAAATGGTTTGAGTAAAAGCACATGTCTCTATATTGATCTTAGCCTTGAGAGAACAAATCATACTTCGACAAAACTCACCAAAATTGGTGTAAATTTAGTTAGTCATGACTACAGCCAACTGTGAACAATGCCAAAATAAGCTTGTTATTTTTCTCTCATACTCATACAGTTCATGCAGTAGCGTTGGCTACGGTGACTCATAATTTGCTTAGGCACACTTTGTGAAAACACTCCCTGAAAATGCAAACAAATACTTGATCGTATTAATAATGAGTGTTCATTCAAAATAACACCCTCAGGGTTCCCAAGTTTTACAATGCTTCTGGATTAATTTCTTCTACCTTTTGTCCATGATGTGTTGATGCGGAATTTCAGAGACTTCCGGATAACTCTTCCTTGCTCAGTGTAAGAAAAAAATTGGCACATAATTGGTCAGGAATCTCAAAAGGCTTGGAGGGTTCCTCCCCAAAGGAAGTGGATCAAAGGTTTCTACAAATCTTTCACTGCAGTTAAATGCTTGGCTTGCAGGAGCTGGCCTTGTGACAGAACTGACTGTGACTGTCTTCAATTGTTTTTTATTCATTTAAAAATCTGTGCCATAGATCACTCATAGCAGGAGAATTCAACTGCAGTTTTTGGAACAACAAAGATTTACAGAGCAATAAGCTCATTTGACCTTCAGATCATGGTATGAGAGGGAGGGAAGCAAGTCAAGCAAGGCAAGCTGGCTGGCTGGCTTTAACAGCTGCAAAGATATAGAAACTCTGCTCAAGAGGAGACAGAAGAAAACTGAAGAAATTAAAACATTACATAGGAAACTGACTTACTCCTTGTCCTTAATACTTTTATCTACTGCAGTATTTACTGCCGACAGGCCACACAGCTAAAGACAATAAAGTTCAAAATCCACATCCTTCACTCATGTCTTTGCATTCAATCACTAAGCTATCACACTTTTCTAGTTTTTGTTAGGAGCCCCCGGTGGCACAATGGGTTAAACTTTTGTGCTGGCAGGACTGAAGACCAACAGGTCGGAGGTTCAAATCTGTGGATAGTGTGGATGAGCTCCCTCTGTCAGCTCCAGCTCCCCATGTGGGGACATGAGAGAAGCCCCCCACAAGGATGGTAAAATATCAAAACATCTGGGCGTCCCCTGGGCAACGTCCTTGCAGATGGCCAATTCTTTCACACCAGAAGCAACTTGTAGTTTCGCAAGTTGCTCCTGACACGAAAAGAAAAGTTTCTGTTGCTAAAATAGGGAATCTACTACAGTAGACGCTCCACATTCACTGTGGTTTGTGGCACAGGGCTTCCACAAAAATGAGATTTTTTTTGTTAAAAAAAGAAAAAGCAATTTTTACCACCTGGGTCCTCGAGAGTGCCCGTATGATCGCCTTCTTCCAGTGCCCGTATGATCGCTTTCTAAAGAATGTATAGAGGAGTGTTCTCACTAGGAATCTCTTAAATTCTCCAGCACAATTCTGTGCTTGACTTCGTGTGGACATTGACCACAAAGTCATGCTAGAGGAGATAGAGATTCCCAGAGATAACATATTGATCAAATCTGTGAATAATTAAATCTGTGAATATTTAAATCTGCAGAAGTTAAATTTACAGGTGTCAAGGGCCAACTGTAGACATTAAGACAAATATGTATTTCTTACAAAACTTATTTTTCAACCCAAATTGGAATATCCTCACAGATAGGTGCCTCAGCAACCAGACTTTCAAATAAAATGTAAGTTTGCCTATTTATGACAAATCACAAATTAAAAAAAGAGTTACAAATAACTTTAAAGGCACCTCTTCAAAGAACATAATAAATGTATCACTTTGTGCCTCAAATTCTCTATAGTGTATTTAGAGCCTCATCCTGGGTCTGTTCAGACCTGTCCCTCAGCCCAATATAGTTTTGCATATCAAACAAAATTTGAGCAGAAATATTAGTTCATTTATTCAGGTGTGATAATTAATGGTCTGTGATCAAGGCTGCCTCCATAGTTGACTTCTACTGTGGAAAAAAAAGTCATATTTTGTTCATCTCCTTGACATTATGCACAAACCATCTTCTTCCCATGGTTTTCTCTTACAGCTTCTGCTCCCAACAAGACTTAGAAGCAAAATTATTATTACTTTGACCTACAACAGTAAGTAATGGTTCTTTGTATATTGGTGACTATCTCTGGGTAGATATCTAAGGGACCTTCCAAACAGGCTTTATATCCCACAATCTGATCCTAGGTTGTCTGTTTATCCCAGATTATCTGCAGTGTGGACTCATATAATCCAGATTAAAGCAGAAAATCTGGGATCAGATCCTGAGACATAGGACTTGTCTGGAAGGACCCTTAATCACGTGTATCTTTCATTGAACTCCATGACATCCCAGAATTGAGAAACACAGATTTCTTTAACATTCACTATTGCAGGAGTTGAAGTAATTGAATCTGTTGAAATAAAATTGTCAGATGAATATAACACCAGACCTTGGAAAAGAAAACTTTTAAAATTATAAATCTCATTATCTCCCAGCCAACTTGGTCACTGGTTGCATAGGCTAAATGATTTTCGAAATTCTCATTCATCAAATTACTTTTTTGTTAGGAAGCACAAAGGAGAAGATGCCAAATTACTTACATGGCCCGTCAATAATCAAACACTCTGGAAAATGGAAATTGTGTTGAGGTCTCAACAGCTAATCACAATTTCCTCTATCTGATTTGACTGAAGGTCTTGAAGCCCAATCACCTTTTTTGGTGTTATCTATGGGACTGTTTGCGTGCTTTTATTTCTGGTTCCAAAGTCCATGAACATTAGTTGTTTGATTAGAGATATGGTGATGAATGATATCAACATAGCTTTCATAGATCTTAAATATTTCATTTTTTGCACACATCACATTTGTCAAAATTATCTACCGTATATACTCATGTATAAGACAACTTTATGTATAAGTTGAGAACAGGTTTTGAGGCCAATATTATGGATTACAATATGAACGGGAGATAAATTGAGGGTCATTCCACAAAGTGGGGAAATCACCAATGCCACCTCAGGGGGCAGTTGCTCCAGATATTCAAAAAGGGCAGAAATGGGGCCAGAGAAAAGAGAGTAGGTTCTGGAATGGACTAAGCTATTCCTTTTTGGTACTCTACTCAGAGAAGGGGGAATGATTGCTCTCTTTAATAACAAAAAGTACTCACACTGGCTCATGAATAAGTCAACCCTGGTATTGGGGGATTGTTTTTGATTAAAATTTCTAGACTTATACACAAACCTGTCTATATATGAATGTATAGGTTTGATCATAACTTGGCTACAGTTTATGAATCAAAATTGTCTTTCTGTCTCATTATCCTCTTTCCTTGTCTTCTAGCATAATAGGTGCAACTGCTGTACTTAGAATATTGGTTTGGCTGAAGCAAATTTAGCCACACTGCCTTTTGCTGGGTCTAATTTGACTACAGTTATTTTTTCTGATAGTCTTTTTGGGGAGGATGCTCTTAAGAACAACCTTACTGAAAGTAATAGATAGGAGACGCCAATGTCTACATTTTAGCAAAAAGAAGCAGACAAAGCATTCTTTTGTCGCCTTTGAGGATTTGTGTTCTCATCCAAACAAATGTGGGTTCATGTACCATATAACCACAGATCAAGGCAACAGCCCAGGAATTGATAGTCAACTTTTGACTCTGCAAAGTTGTATATCCACTTCATCACACTGAGGTGTTTGGTAGAGTAGTGGTATTATACTACTTGTGATATCATGAGATGTTGTTAATCTCACCCATCTGAGACACTTTTTGCATATCTTTTATTATCACTAAAAACACAGCTACGGAGTTTATTGAACATCAAGAAGCAAAGAAAATATTTTTATGAAGACACTCAACAGATTTTCAGAAATCAAAGACCAAAAACAGAGGTTGTAACAATTCATTACCATGACAAACCAATCTAGCAGGAATGCATTTCCCCCTTTTTTCAATTATGATTTATTTATGTATACATATCCATATGATATAGACAATGTTCAACAAATAACATTTTCAGTGTTAAGATTTCTTTTCTGGGTTGCTGTGTGCTTTCCGGACCTCACAACCTCTGAGGAGGCCTGTCATTGATGTGGGTGAAACATCAGAAGAAAATGCTGCTGGAACATGGCCATAGAGCCCAGGAAACTCACAGCAATCTAGTGATTCCAGCCACGAAAGCCTTCGACAACACATTTATTTTCTGTCAAATATTATTAATTTCATTAACATTATTATTATTAAAAACAATTTTGTTGTAGACAAAAGAGGGTATTAAATGAATGATCCTCATCAGAAAGGCTAGGTAAGTTACTGGTTAACACAGATAGATTACAGTCAGTATGTTGAAGCCTTCCAATAGCAAGGAGTCTGGAAACAGTGTGAGGTTGTCAGTTTTAATGCCTTGTCTAAGAAGATAATACAAATATCTGATCAGAAATATCAGCTCAATAGTTATCTTTGCTTGTGTTCAGTGCCATAGACCTGACACCTTCTGTATTAGAATATATTCAGGACCCTAATACTGGTGAGATTCTGGTCTGTTGGAGAATGGGGCAGAAATGTATTTCTTTAAATAAAGATTCACCAACACAGCCTTCTAATTTGTTTCCCTAGAGTTACTAGAGAAAGTAATTTTTTAAATGTTCCGGTTTCCTTCAAGATGTCAAATACTTCAGGGATTTGTTTATGTGTATTTTACTTATATTCTTCCAGTTTTGACAGAGGAACAGACAGAGGTTTGTTCTTTTAAATCTCTGAACATGTTTTTATGGTTTTTAACTGTTTAATACTGTTTATATTTAATCCTGTTTCCATGTTTGCATATTTGTATATTTTAAATTGTATGCTTATGCTTTTGTTAAGCTGCTTTGAGCCTCCTTCGGGAGAGAAAAACCAGGGTATAAATAAATCTAACAACAACACCACCACTTTGAAAGGAAAAATGAAAAGGGATTAACATTTTTGTTTCTGCCTTTCTTTGTTTCTGCACAAAATGATCTAATGATCATAGCGCAAGCTAGAGCCACTCCATACCTGGCTAAATTTAAATATAACGCGGACATGGAAACTTATCTCTTTTATACTTCCACTATATATTAGAAAACTTTTGACCGGGCTAGATTAGAGCAGCTCGACATTAAGTCCAAGCTGGGACTACATCAGAACATTCCCTATATGAGGAGAACCTGTGGGTGTCATGAGGTAGATGCAGAAGTAGAGCACTCAGAACATTTTTTCTTAAAATGTCCCTACTACAACAGGATTCGGTCTTACTACCTAGAGCCTCTGCTGGAGAACCATACTTATCTAGAGAATAAGGAGAAATTGCACATCCTCCTACAGGGTTCAGATAAAAACTCTATTTTAAAATTGTCCCTTTTTACGCAAAAAGCGCTGGCCATCAGCGAGAAGATGGAAGCAGAGAGCTGTTATATTGCTGCCATCAACAAAATTCAAATTTAAAAATTTAATATGGACATCCCACTAGTTTTACTTACCCTCGCTGCCGCTCAAACTTTATTTTAAGGAATTAATAAATTTTAATCTTTTCATCTCGTAATTTCACAATCATTTAGGAGTGGGTTGACAGGCCAGTAGACCAGGATGCTTTGTATTCATATATGGTTTTACGGTATGTATGGGTAAGTGTGTATGCTTTGTATGTTTTGTATGTTTTGATATGGTCAAAATTGACTAATCAATAAAGAATGGTTGTTTCTGCATTTCTTGACAAAATAACTATAGAATTGTATAAAAAGTGAGTTTCCATTAAACAAAATAATTGATATTGTGATCTGAGTAGATAGTTCAAAGGAGATAGCAGTCACAATAACGGTTGTATAGATGGAGTTCCCAATTTGCTGCATGATTTCTGGAATATGGTTTTCCGCTTTCTCAATATATTCCTAACACTGTAAAGCTGATGTGCAGTTGGAAATGGAGGACATACATACTCTTCATTCTTCCAGGGATCCAGATACCTTATAATATTTTTTTTCTTAAAGAAATTATGTACAAAAGAGAAATATCAAAAACAGCAGCCATTGATTGAAACAATTCCTCAATTCAATTCAAACTTCAGATTCTTGTTGTTTTTTTCAGAATTAGGTTGTCTATTCATATTATAAGATTGCTTCAAGGCTTGGAGAGCCTGTTCTTTGGTTATCTTCTTCCAGTCTTTTGGCAAATGTGCTCGTTTTGCACTATACTTTTTGGAAAATTCTGTATTGAACTCTTTTAAAACAAACTTCCAGTAATCAGAAGCATTGAGACTGGGATCAGGCTGAATGGACCAATTAGGATAATAATCACGATAATCTTTGTATGGATAAAATTCCCAATTGGTATCTGCACATTTGAAATTTTTTTGGGAGGCCACTTGAGAAGAACATATATCACTAATGAGCCTCCATGTGTCATTATCTCTGTATTCTCCTAACCCGCCGGGCCGATGGACTGCTGCAAAATGATCCTTGTGGACAGCACCCCCAGCTTCACAGGGGACCTTGCAGAAGGGACATTGCTCCCCACAGCCAAACACTTGCTTGAAGATCTCATCTTGGGGCTTCACAGACAGTCTTGAGAGCTTGGATTCAATATCCAATGATTCAAATTTGGAGAGTATCTCTTTCTGCAAATCTTGAAGACAGTTATCAACATAAGCAGAGAAGTGGTCAGGATCAAATGCACTCCTCAACTCTAATCCTACTAGATTACTCTTTGATATGGCCAAGTCCTTTTGTAGTTCCTGACAAAAATCGTCCACAAAATTAGAGAATGTTTCAACATTTTTATTTCTTAAGATGTCCACTGTATTCTTAACTTTTGTTAGTATTCCTGACAGAATGTCTTTCTCCAAATTCTTCAAAGTCTCATTTTTTATGTAGCAATCTATCACTTGTTTATGGATCCAGTTCTTGACAAACTGTTCATAGTTTCTGATGCATTCCACATATTGGTTAAAATCCCATTCATCCAACAACTCCTTCAAGAGTGTAAACTGAAGGAAATTCCGACTAGAACATTCCATGGGATGTTCACTGTTACGGAAGTGATCTACTATTTCTATCCCAAGTCTTTTGTTGATGTAATCTTCTAAGGCAGGATGGAGACACCTGTCACAGAAGTCTTTAGCTCTGATTTGCTGGGCATCTTTTTTCTGATAAAGATCTTTGAAAATGGAAAAATAATGAGGTTTCAGTTTCTCCAGGCGTTTCCTGGGATCATTTTCCTCAATAAAATCTTTATGCATCTTCTGGAATTTGTAAGCTGCTTCTCCCAAAATGTGAAGCTTCAGGTCCGCTTCAAAAGCAGGTGTCATATGAAGTTTTTGAACATCATCCTCTTGAAAGTTCTCACTGATGAGATGGAGAAGTTCTCCACAGTATGTTGAAACATAATCTCTTTTGGAATAGATTTTTTCATCCATATATGAAATGCATTTGTATATCAGTGAGATAGAGAATTCTTGTATCCTCAGCAAATATTCCTCTGAATTTGGATTGTGAGGCTTCAACATTTTTGATTGCATATGGTCATCACTTATTTGGAAATCATTTACTCTATAACTTGACAAACCCCTTTTCTGTAATTTCTGTGTGATTAACTTACTTTGAGACTCCACGTTCTTTCTCAGATGAAATTCAACATCTGCATAAATATCAAATTCTATTAGATGAACAGGAGATAGTTCTGACAACGTTTCTCTCCATACTTGCTCAAACTCTTTTTTTAGTTCTTGTTCTTCTACAACATGCTCTTTCTTTCTGCATTGTTCAAGAAGATGGTCCACTTTCCTTTCAATGGTTTTCAGGTATTCATTTTGGAGAGCCTCAATCTTATGCTGACCTTTTTTAATCTTAATGGCATCTTCTAACTTCTTACATGAAGAACTTCCAAGTTCATTCATGAGACTATTGGCATTTCTGACAAAATCTTCCTTGTACCTTTCTACTAGATGAAGGTTTTGTGCTTCACTTTGAAAGTATTCATCCAAATTCTTCAAAATCTTGTCTTTTTCAATTGACAGCTTGTCTTGAAGCTCAGATTTCAACTCAAATAACTCAATTTGAGGAAAAATGTTATATATTTCATTTTCATGTTCGGATAGCCAGAGATGCATTTCTTTGCGACAGCTCCAGTCCCATTCAGAATATGCTACAGAAAGATTATTATAGGCTTCAGCAATGAGGCTGTTGCGGAAACTGAAAATGAAGTTTTCCTGTTTCACAGCACTCCACAGGCTCTTTAACCATTCAATAAATGCTGGGATGTCCTTGCATGATCTTTGATGTGAGCGGTTCCTTATGAATTCAATTAGGTGCTGCTTTAACTCTAACACCTTTTCACTGTATCCTGCATTAACTGGCGCCATTGGTGGCACTCCATGCCACAAACCTGGGATGTACCAACTGTTCATCTCTGGGTCGTAGTCTATGATGTCTGAAAATTTGGTATTTCTGTCAACTTTCTCCATTTTTGCTGCTGCCTGGGTCATTTCATCAAGCTGTTCTAAAAGGCGTTTCCTGTCCATCATGTTTTGATCATGTGCGGAAACATCACTGACATTCTGATGAACAAACTGACAGTTGGGTTTTAGACCGATTTCCTTCATCCTGAGAAAAGCATGGGTTACGATCTGCAGGACATCCTTCATTTCAGTGGCATTCTCCATTGCCATGTTTACTATTGTGATATCACTCAACCCAATCACGAGTGTGGCTAACTCATTGTCATGATGATAGCTCTCTTCTAACTGAGCAAGCTCTGGGGCTTTCAAGCCTTCTGTGTCTATTACCAAAAGGAAATCACAGTTGAGACCCTCAGCCATGTCTTCTTTGACTTTAAGGAATGTCATGAAGGCCCCTCGTGTACATCGGCCACTGCTAACAGGAAACTGCAGGCCAAACATGGTGTTAAGCAAAGTTGATTTCCCGGTGCTTTGCACCCCCAGCACAGTTACCACAATCATTTTGGACTGACCATTTAGTTTCTTATTGAGCTCAGTCAGGACATCTGTTACCCACTGCACGGGAATATTGGAAGCATCTCCATCAATCAGCTCTATAGGGAACCCTTCCAGCATCAGGGTAGCTGCAATGCTTGGGAGATGGACAAATTGCCTTTGACTTTCTGGAAGTTTGTTTTGTTGAACCACTGAATATTCTGCTTCATAAAGCTGCCCCAATTCACGCATGAAATGTTCAACTCCCAAGGAAGAGGTAGCTATCTGTCGATCTACCTGTACAATCACCTGGCCATCATTTCCTACAGTCCTGCATTTCTCTTTGTAAGTAGTACGTAACCTTAAAAGATTCTCCCTAGCAACAGAATCCAAGTTGAACTTCATCCATTTCAAGAAGTAATGTTTCGCTGTAGGATTCAAATATTTTATGCCATGAATGAAATGAATCAAACCAGCAGTTAGCTCACATTTGTGTTGTTGTTCACGTAGTTCCAATAATCTGCCTATCAATTCGGATCTGTATTCTTCAGAGGGCTTGGCCCCTTGTTTTTCCATTCTGCACAGCTCTTTCTCCACTACTGCCAGATTTTTCCAGAGATCACCTTGGAGTTTGAGTTCTTCTTTTTTATAATCTGTGACATCTTTTATTTCTTGTGTGATTTGTTCAGCACATCGGAGAGCCCTCTGGCAAACCTGAGAGTGCTCATCAACCCAGATGTCAAATTCACCAGCTATATCAGCCATGTTTCGGACATTTATGTTTTTTGAAGAAGAGTGGACTACTCTTTCAAGAGTAGATTGTAGTTTTTCCACAAATTCCGCTTTATTGGATCTGGCTGCTTTGGGCAATATATGTGAATTGTCAAATTTAAGCACTGGAGCCAATTTATTTAAAAAAGCCAAAGTTTCCTTGGATATACTACCATCACATTCCAGGATGAAGTAATACTGAGTTGATGATTCTTTCAGTAATGACAACAAATTGTATTCTCTCTCACTTATGCATTTAGCAACTATAAAGAGGGCCGAAGAGACTTCTGCTAGAAACATAAGCTGCATCCAATGTGGCTCTATATCTCCACGTAAATTAGTAAATGCAACTGGGTCTGAGAAGAGATCAGAGTTTTCTTGGCCTCCTGGAAAATACCAGGTGATCTCTATCAGTCCATCAGAAATTTTCCGAGGGACATTTCCACCCTTCATGTCCCTGTGTATGAAGAAATCATGGTGCTGCTGGGAGGAGCTAAGCAAATCATTGAGGAGTTGAGACTTAGAGATATTAGAGCTGCCTAACCGCACAAAGGATATTATTGGCATTGGAATGAGTACCAGGTTCTCTTCCCTAAAGCCTTTGCTTCCAGCCAGTGAATGGGGCCTCCATTTCTTCACAATGTCTCTCATGGCCCAAATCATCAGGGTGCATTTGGGAGTCTCTAAGGGTGGCAGAAGCAAAGGCAGGGCAAACTGGCACATGGACATTTTGGAGAGAATATCTTGCTGAAGAAAACTATCCGAACAGAGCAAAAGAGCGCAAAGGACATCAAGGGGGTTCATGGACAGTTTTGTATCCATCTCAGCGATGAAGATCCTATCATCAATGCTCTGTTTTTTCTCCATTCCTCTCACACCTTTTCCACCAGCTGTCCCCTGGTCAAGGTTTGTGTTCCGGGCACTCGCATTCAAAGCCAGGACCTTCCGCAGAAAATGCCAAGGTAGTTCTTCTAGGCTATGAGGAGTGCATTTCTTTAGACTACCAGAACTGATTTCAAGGGTTTCATGCAATGTGATTTTCTTGCTTTTTCGCTGGAGCAATTTTAATTGCAAGAGAATATCCTCAAGTGCCTCACTTCTCTCTGCAAAAAGAAATTATAATCTGTATTATTTTTGTCACTATCAAACTTCTCCATCTTGCCCCAGAACTGTTTGTAGGATTTCCTGTCCTTTTCCTTTGCCCATAGTTTTCTACCTTTTTCACCTGCTTGCCAAGAGTGCTTACATTGTGTCTTATTATGAAATACAATCTGTATGATTGGAGCAATAATGCATTAAATTCATTACAATCTCAATAATATATGAGTTAGTACTAGCCTAAAAACCTTTCATTAAATAAGAAACATGATAGGCCTCCAATTATATTAAAGTACTCTAGTAACACAAGTTCCAGTGTGATGCAATGGGTCAAGTGCTGAATTAACGTTCTGGGAGACCATGGTCTGAATCCTTGCTTGGTGATGGAAATCTACTGGATGACCATGGTCAAGTCATATTCTCTTAGCCTCTGAGGATGGTAAGGGTAAACACACCCTTCATTGAAAAAAAGAGGATGTGATCTCTCACAGATGCCCCATCTACACTAACCATTTAATACAGTTTCAAACTGGTATGAAGAAAGTGGCTTTGCTGAGCAGACGATTACATAGGAAGTCTTGGTACCAGTTTGAGGCCTTGATAATGATTACACAAACAACAGCACTGATACACATTAAGGACTTTATTTTGTGTACTTTTGTACTCGTCTGTTGTCTAGCTAGTTTCAGGCTGCATTAAATGGTGAGTGAGGATGGGGTCGGAGAAGGGCAAATCAAAAGATTTAAGTACACACATATCATACTCTTCTACTTTCCTGATTTGGCAGAAAAGTTCCAATTTATCCAAATGCAACCAGGAAAGAAAACTGGACATCTGGGTCTTACTGTAGATACTACATTTTCAGGAGCATCAGCAAATATTGACAGAAATCAGCAATTGTAAATACCAATATAGAGACACTTCTTTATATATACCTTTAAAGTTCTCTTCCTTTGGTATCACATTCTTTGCTGCTATTTTATCATTTGAAAGCCAAAATCCATCTGAGGCTGTTTCCTCATATTTGGATTCTACTTTTTCAAAAGGACACTTCTCCTCACAGTATAAGTCATCTTCTGGGTATTCGATTTCCTTTGGTACAGGGGACATGGCAACATTTGTATTTCCTGTTACACTTTCTTCCAAAGTTTTGGCCAGATCCACAAGGCTCCATGCATGACCCTCTTCATTTTGGCATCCTGTTGAGGGGGAAGCTGAATGAAAGGTTTGAGAATTAGGAGCTAAATTATTCTGCAGCTAAACTGGTTCACCGTTACCTCACTCAATCTAACTTCATTAACTGTCAAACAAGAAATCAGAAAATCTCAACTGAATGGCCCACCACGAGGGTCTTCCTCCAGGGGCAAACCAAGAATGGGCAACCTGGAAGTCCCTGAATAGACTCAGAAGTGGAGTGGCCAGATCAAAAGACAACCTGGCAAAATGGCACTACCTAAAAGAATCCCACACCTTGTGTGACTGTGGAGCAGAACACACAACTCTGAACCTGTATTCTTGTCCATTATACCCTGCCTCATGTACAGAGGAGGAATTGTTGGAGGCTACAGACAATGCCGTTGTTGTTGCCCATTTTTGGTTGAAAGATATTTAGCCACCTACACACCTTCTATTTTTGTCAGTTGTATGATAATTTATGCAATGCTTTTGATACGAAATAAATAACTGTCAAACAGAAATGCAGTTTACACAAAACCCAATATGGCCTTCCTAAAGTTGGTTGCTCATGTACAAATCAAAAAATGAATGCAAAAATATTGACCCTGGGGTTGACTTATCTATGTGTCTATACAGCAATACTGCTCTGAAAGCAGTCCGTACAGGCATAGCCTCCTGAAAAAAAAAGTACTGATACTACCCCACTGCCACACAGATTTCTGTGCTTTAATCTGACCTTTAAAAACTTCAATCATGGAACAAGGGCGGGGAGGCAAAGCTCAGTAGATGTGCGCACATGCACGCACGCACACACACATTTCTCTTAGTAAAGTGCGTGTTTGTATGTGCAGGAAGCATTTTCATTGCAGAAAAGAAGGAGAGCTACATAACCAGGTAGTGTCTGCAGGACCTTATCACATACCTAATTGCCACCCCCTTTTCCTTGTGCATAGTGTCTTTTTAGACTTTAAATCTGCGGACAGTGAACCATCAAATTAATCATTTGCATGGCATTCTCGAGCTTTTTAAAGCTGAACAATGAGTTAAAAATGTTCCAGGTAAGTATGAAAGTAAATAAGTGGGCCAGATTCTGAGGGGAAGTGACTCTGGAAAGAAATTGTTTACATAAACAGATGCCCTTTCCTGTTTGTTTGTTTGTTTTTGCTTCTCTTCTCCTTCTCCCTCTGCCAACGATGGAAGGAACAAAAGAGGCACCCGACAGACTGGGCAAAGACTGGTTACCAGAACCATTAAAGCTGGCTCTAATACATGGTAGAGTTAGTAGTCACTGTTGTGATTAGAGCCCCGCTTGGTTTCTCAACTTTTCAGCTCTGATTCGTAAACTGAGACTTTTGTTAATCTCTGTAGCTACAGATGGTTTCTCCTGGGAGCCCTCCTTATCACTCAGCTCTTCACTCGATTCCTTATCTGCTGGTGCTACTTCTGACTCCTCAGACTGGCCTTGAGACCTTGCAATTTCTGAGCCATTTTTTTCTCAGAGAGAAATATCACTTTCCAGACTTGAATTTCCCAGACTTGAAAGCCCATCATTGTATGCCACAATGATGGGCCACAATCCTTTTAAACCATCAGCCTCTGGCTGATCTGCAACACTCTGAGGTTTTATTAAGGAGAGGACATGATTTCAGAGGGATGGAGGAAGCAAAAGCCTTATCAATGATATTTAATTCTGTATATTTCTAGATTTTAAATTATATTTAAATGCTTTTAATGTAAGTCACTTTGAATCTCCTTGTGGAAAGAAAAAGTGAGGTATAAATCTATATAAATAAAAATGTAATGTTCGTTTGTGGGATTAACAGAACTCAAAAACCACTAGACAAACCGACACCAAATCCGGACACAAGACACCTCTTAGGCCAAAGTATGTCCTTCACTAAAAAAAATTATTTTGTCATTTGGGAGTTGTAGTTGCTGGAATTCATAGTCAATTTACAATCAAAGAGCATTCTGAACTCCACCAATGATGGAATTGAACCAAACTTGGCACACAGGACTCCCATGACCAACAGAAAATACTAGAAGGGCTTGGTGGGCATTGACCTTGAGTTTGGGAGTTGTAGTTCACCTACATCCAGAGAGCACTGTGCAGTCAAACAATGATGGATCTGGACTAAACTTGGCACAAATATTCCATATGCCCAACTAGGAACACAGATGGAGCTTGGGGGAAATAGACCTTGACATTTGAGAGTTGTAGTTACTGGGATTTATAGTTCACCTACAATCAAAGAGCATTCTGAACTCCACCAACAATGGAATTCAACCAAACTTGGCACACAGAACTCCCATAACCGACAGAAAATACTTAAGGCCACCCAGTCCAACTCCCTTCACCAGGGCAGGAAAACGTAATCAAATACTGTTTATCCACAAGCATAAAGAAATTACATATATTAGAAACACTTTCTCATTACTTTATTTTCCAGTTCACCAGACTGGGCCACAGCAACGCGTGGCAGGGGACAGCTAGTAAACATAATAATAATACTTAGATGCCATGACCTCCAACTGTCCTCATTTGGCAGGGAAAGTCCCAATTCATCTTCAGTCAACCTCCTTTTTCAGATAATTTAAAAATATCCCAGTTTTTCACTCATCCTCCCACTTTCCTGCCTTGTTCTAGCTTATTTCAATTGCTTCAAATTAAGAGATGGATATTTTGGTCTCATTGTAGTATTACATTTTCTAGAGCGCCAGGCAATATTGGCAGAAATTAGGAATCAGAAATAACACCATGAAGACATTTATATACCTTTAGAATTCTCTTCCTGTAGTGTCATATCCTTTGCTGGTACTTTGCCCGATATCCACAAAAATATCTCTGAGATTTCTTTCTCAGATTTTGGCTTCCCACTTTCAATAAGACCTCTTGCCTTACAGCATGAGTCCTCTTCTGGGTTCTTCCTCTCATTTGATACACTGACAACATCTGGATTTTCTGGTATGCTTTCCCCCAAAATTTGGGGTGAATCATTAAAATTACATTCCTTTCCCACCTGGCATGCTGTAGAGGAGGAAGCTAAAAAAAAAGGCATGAGAATTAAAAGATACAAAATTCTTAAAAAAATATAATTTGCCATTGCCTCATCCCATCTGTGTAATGACAGGAACTGATAATAGGAAATGCAAATTTAAAAACAGTCTAACAGTCTATCAGATCCTCTTAAACCTGATTGCTGTTGTTTTCCTTGCCTCCTCTTTTTCTTAGATCAATGTAACTCAGCATGTTTTTGCTTTCTACCTTAATGAAGAGGTTGCTTCCCCCTTCTTCCCTAAAATATTTAGTACTTTACAACCAATAATAATAATAATAATAATAATAATAATAACAACAACAACACTCATGACCTCACAATCTTGTTAAAAAACAAAGTATGGATTGTCGATGTTGCAATCCCAGGTGACAGCAGGATTGCAGAGAAACAACAGGAAAAGCTGACACAGTATGAGGATTTAAAGATCGAACTGCAAAGACTCTGGCACAAGCCAGTAAAGGTGGTCCCAGTGGTGATCGGCACACTGGGTGCAGTTCCTAAAGACCTTGGCCTGCACTTAAACACAATTGGCGCTGACAAAATTACTATCTGCCAGCTGCAGAAGGCCTCCTTACTGGGATCTGCACGCATTATTCACCGATACATCACACAGTCCTAGACACTTGGGAAGTGTCCAACGTGTGATCCAATTCAACAGCCAGCAGAGTGTCTGCTATGGACTCATACTTTGTGTTTAATAATAATAATAATAATAATAATAATAATAATAATGTTATTCTTATATCCTGCTACCATCTCTCCAAAGGGACTCGGGGCAGCTTACATGAGGACCAAGCCCAGCATAGAACAAGGGTTACAAGGTAAGGCAATTAAAAACATAGAACAATAAAATATAATTAAACCAGACAGTAAAACATTATAAAAAGAAATCAACTGACATCAACAACCAGTAGCCGGGAAAACTGGGCATATTCAGATTCAGGGCAAGGGGTTGTGCAAATGCAAACTATAGGGCCGGGGCTGGAAATAAAGTGTAGGAAAACCAAAGCAATAAATTAGGGCTAGGGAGACCTCATCGGTACATTTGTTCCCCTGTATCCACAAATTCTGCATCCATAAATTCAAAAATCTATCACTTGAAAATATTCTCCCAAAAAGAAAATTCCAAAAAATAAACCTTAATTTTGTCATTTTAGATAAGAGACCATGTCATTATATATAATGGGACCTGAGTATTCACAGAGTTACATACTCACAAGAGGCAAGGGACGGGCAGTCCTGAAACTTAACCCCAGCAGGTATCAAGAGCCCACTGTACCACACATTGCATATATAACTATATTTTACGTTCTATAATAAATGCAACAACATTTTCTTTGTGTGTTCAGAAAATTGTAGGGACTGCTTGGGGATGAAGGTATAAGAATTCTGTTGAAATGTTATTGGATGTTTAGAAGGATCCCAAGACTCACCTTCTCTTGACTGCTGCAGAAACCGGCTTGAACCTGGTCGTGCCATTTTTAACAATTCCAAGAACTGGAAGCAGGCTTTTTCTCCTTTCTTCTGTATCATGATCAGCAGTTTCCTACTTTTCTTCTTTGATTCCTCTTCTGTTTTGTCCAAGGTCTCGTATTCTTCCTCTGTGATGACATCTTGGACAAGTAGCTCATCTAAAACAAATTCTAGGTCTTCTTGAAGGAGTTCTGTTAATTGTTTTCTCTGCTTGGAAATAATACTAAAGGCAGATGCCACTGGGTCCGGTGACCTATGGCAAGAAAAATATATTTTATGAATTAGATAACTAGAATGGAAAGGGGGTGGAATTTTAGCTAGCAAGAATATAAAGGAGTGTTTCAACGAGTCTACCAGTCTAACAATGCTATAAGATCTATTTTGTTGACATTCAACTTGTAGATCAGCACCCACAACTGGGACAAAACTAACCTTAAAATTAATAACAAGAGCAACTTCCCACTATTTGCTTTATTTCAGTTTCCCTTGTGCTATTTTACTTGCTTTATAAAAAATATAGCTAAAGAGAAAAATAAAAAACGAATGAAAAAGTAAAGGAGGAAAAAATGCGGTCACAGTTTTGAAATGTACACGTAGGCTCCATCTTTCTGGCTGAGGTTTAAAGTGTATCCCAGACCATGAAAGCATTTAGGATTAATCTGAAAGGCAGTGGCTTTACAAGATCCAAGGCAGTGGTCTTTTTAGACCTACAGCATAGGATGCTGGATCCGGCATATTTTCTTTCTCTGGCAAGGCAGTGTGTGAGCTGATCAAACATTAACTACACTTGGTTTATTTTACTTTATGCCACATACTTCCTCCCTGTAGACCATACATGGGCAAACTTCGGCCCTCCAGGTGATTTGGACTTCAACTCTGGTAGGCTGTTAGGAATTGCAGGAGTTGAAATTCAAAACGCCTGGAGGGCCAAAGTTTGCCCAGGCCGGCTGTAGACCACCAGTGTCTTTTGGTTCATGAGCACTGAGAAGTCACATGTTTCCCACTTGTAGTTGACTATAATCCTACTCCAACCAAAGAACAAGCTCTCATTCTGTTTCATGGGACTAGTGCTGCCGATTTGTGTTGTAATGTTCCATAATTACAAAACACTGGTGTGGTGCCTCCAACTGACTTACACCAATAGCGATCTCATCAAAAGCCAGTTAGTACAAAGCTACATAACGAGAGTTCCAACACAAAAGAGAGGATTAAGCGTTTTTTCACCCCTTGGTGACTTGGCTGTCCTCAAGAGATGAGGTGTTGCCACGTTGGAACACTGTGTTGAGGTTACCCAACAGTGCTCTGTTTTCCTGTTATGCTAGAGTAGGGGTCCCCAAACTAAGGCCCGCGGGCCGGATCCGGCCCCCCGAGGGCATTTATCTGGCCCGCGGGGTGTGGAGAAGGGGGGGAAGGCGGCGGGCGAAGCAGCTTCGGGGCTGCTTCGTCCTCTGCCTCCCTGGGCCCAGCTGGCTCTTCTTCTGCCTTTGGGAAGGGGCCACGAGCTGTGTGCATCCGCAGAGCAGAGCCAGGCGGAGCAGCAGCCGCATCCCAAGCATGGTGTACCTCCCAAGCCTCTGCCTGCCAGGGCGGGGACTCCATGGGCTTCCCTGCAAGGCAAGGCAAGGAGCAGAGGGAGGGGGTCAGTGCGGAGGGAGTGAGTGAGGGAGGGAGGGGTCTCCTTTCACCAGGGAAGCACCCGCCAAGACCCTCCTCCTCCTCCTCTGCTGGGCAAGAACCCCCTCCCTTCATACAGACATACACACACACACACACACAGACATCATCTGGGTTGTAGATTTTGGGCTGTATTCCAGAAACATTCTCTCCTGATGTTCTTTCTTTGGTTCCATCCTTCCTTGTCTCTTTCCTTCCTTCCCTCCCTCTTTCTCTTTTTCGTTCCTTCTCTCCTTCCTTCCCTCTTTCACTTTTTTATTTCCTTCTCTCCTTCCTTCTCTACCTTTRTTTCCTTCTCTCCTTCCCTCCTTCTTTCCCTCTTTCTCCCTCTCCTTCCTTCCGTCTCTACCYTTCTTTCTTTCCTTCTTTCTCTCCTTCCCTCCTTTTTCCCCTTCTTCTTTCCCTTTCTTTCTCTCTTTCTCTCCCTCCTTCTCTCCTTYCTTCCTTCTCTACCCTTCTTTCTTTCCTTCTTTCTCTCCTTCCCTCCTTCTTTCCCTTCTTCTTTCCCTCTTTCTTTCTCTTTCTCTCCCTCTTTCTCTCCTTCCTTCATTCTCTACCCTTCTTTCTTTCTTGCCTTCCCTCCATCTTTCCCTCTTTATTTCTCTCCTTCCTTCTCTACCCTTCTTTCTTTCCTTCTTTCTCTCCTTTCCTCCTTCTTTGCCTCCTTCTCTCCCTCCTTCTTTCTTTCCTTCCCTTTTCCCCCCTTTATGTGTATGTGTTTTGTGTGTGTATATGCATAGATGTGTGTGTGTGTGTATATGTGTGTGTGTGTGTGTGTGTATGGTTTTGCGCCTGCATTGTAATGTATTTTTTGGGGAAGGTTGCTTTTTAAGTCTCTTCCACTGTGTTTTTCAGTGTTTTTATGAGTGATGGTCACTTGTTGGCCTGATAGATGTATTTTGTCCAAATTTGGTGTCGATTCATCCAGTGTTTTTTGAGTTATGTTAATCCCACAAAGGAACATTACATTTTTATTTATATAGATTTTTCAAATTATAATCCGGCCCTCCAACAGTTTGAGGGACCATGAACTGGCCCTCTGTTCAAAAAATTTGAGGACCCCTGTGCTAGAGTATAAATTCAAGTGCAGAAGTTACCCTTCATTGGATGTTTCCGCTGAAACTCCTGAATCTGGATCCATTTTTGTCTCTTCCGGTATTTTTACAGGCAATGTCAACCCAGTTGTGGTTTGAACACTCTGGTATTCACCATGACACTTTGCATCTCTTAATGAACATTTCTGCTGATAGAAACTGAGAAAGTATTATTTATTTATTTATTTCTCGCATTTCTATCCTGTCTTTCTCAACCCCCGAAGGGAGACTAAGGACGGCTTACAATGGGCTCCATTCCGAAGCCATTACACAACAAATTACAAAATTAAAACCACAATTAGACATAAAAGCATAATTAGCAATACATAAGCCATCGTTAAAACAGTAAAACAGTCTCATCAGCCATATCGTCATTCCAGTCACATTCCCCTAAAGTGCTGCTTGCATATATTGTCCAAAAGCCTGGTCCCAAAACCATGCCTTTAGTTTCTTACGAAAAACTAGGAGGGAGATGGCTGATCTTACCTCAGTTGGGAGTGTGTTCCATAGGCGGGGGGGGGGGGGCACCACCGAGAAGGCCTTCTCTCTCGTCCCCACCAGGCGCATTTGTGCTGTTGACGGGAGCGAGAGCAGGGCCTCCCCGGGTGATCTTAGGTTTTGAGGTGGGACATAGGGGTAGATGCGTTCGGACAAGTAAACTGGGCCAGAACCGTATAGAGCTTTATAGGTCAAAACCAGCACCTTGAATTGGGCTCAGAGGTGGACCGGCAGACAGTGGAGCTGGCATAACGGGGGTGGGGGAGTGGTATGCTCCCTGTATGTCGTCCCAGTTAGTAGTCTGGCTGCTGACCGTTGAACTAGCTGAAGTTTCCGAACTGCCTTCAAAGGCAGCCTCATGTAGAGCGCATTGCAGTAATCTATTCAGGATGTAACTAGAGCGTGGACCACCATAGCCAAGTCAGGTACGGGCACAGCTGGCACAAAAGTCTTCGTTGTGCAAAAGCTCCTCTGGCCACCGCCAAGACCTGGGGTTCCAGGCTCAGCGATTAATCCAGGATCACTCCCAAGCTGCGAACCTGTGTCTTCAGGGGGAGTACAACCCCGTCCAACACAGGCTGTAACCCCATGCCCTGTTCAGCTTTATGACTGACCAGGAGGACCTCTGTCTTGTCTGGATTCAATTTCAATTTGTTAGCCCTCATCCAGTCTGACACAGCGGCCAAACACCAGTTTAAGGTCTAGACAGCCTCCTTAGTAACAGGTGGGAAGGAGTGACAGATCTGGACATCATCTGCATACAGATAACACCATACTCCAAAACTCCGGATGATCTCCCCCAAATGGCTTCATGTAGATGTTAAATAAGATCGGGGACAGTACTGAATCCTGAGGGACTCCACAAGACAATGGTTGTGGAGCCGAACAGGTGTCACCCAGTAACACCCTCTGAGACCGACCCTCCAGGAAGGATTGGAGCCACTGCAGAGCAGTACCACCAAGTCCCATTTCTGCGAGGTGTCTCAGAAGGATACTGTGGTCGACGGTATCAGAAGCCGCCAAGAGGTCCAGCAGAACCAACATGGACACACTCTCCGTGTTGAGCTCCCGGCGTAGATCATCTACTAAGGCGGCCAAGGCTGTTTCAGTGCCATGTCCCAGCCTAAGGACAGACTGTGACGGATCTAGAAAATCAGTGTCTACCAAGAACCCCTGGAGTTGCAAGGCCACCACACGTTCCATGACTTTGCCCAAGTAGGGAAGATTGGAAACTGGCCGAAAGTTGACGAATTGAGTGGGGTCCAGTGATTTTTTTTAAAAAAATCAGTTTTATAACATATAGCCCGGGAAAACCTACAACAACCCAGTGTTATAATAGCCTGTTTTAGGCTGGCTGGAATCTTGCCCTCCTGTAAGGAGGCATTAACCACCACTGTAACCCATTCTGCCAAACCCCCTCTGGTTTCTTTTCTCAGCCAGGATAGGCAGGGGTCTAGGATGCATGTGGTCGGGTTCGCTATGGATAAACAGTTCTGGGTAGCTTGGTTTGCAAGCTTTTACTGTTGTGCCCACCGAAGTCCTAAGTCCTAAGGTTTGGACCCCTTTCAATCAGGCTTTTGTTCAGATCATGGGACAGAGACTGTCTTGGTCGCTATTACTGACGAAATTCGTCGTCAGTTAGATCGAGGCGGATCAGCGCTATTGGTACTCTTGGACCTCACAGCTGCATTCGACACTGTGGACCATGACTTGCTGATTCATCGATTGGCTATGTCCCTGAAATGGTTCAATTAGTTCCTCCGGGACTGGAGACAGAGGGTGGAGTGGTTAGGCCAAAGCTCTGAGAGCTCCTGCCTTTCCTGTGGAGTTCCCCAGGGTGCTATCCTCTCGCCCCTGTTATTTAACATCTACGTCCGACCACTTGCTGGACTGGTGCGGAGCTTTGGCATAGAGTGCTACCAGTATGCAGATGATACCCAGCTACTCTTGCATCTCGAACCTGGGACAACCGCGATTCCTGAGAACTTTAAGCTGTGTTTGGAAGCAGTGATGAGTTGGCTACGAGCAAGCCAACTAAAAGTCAATCCTGCAAAAACTGAGATACTCTGGCCCAGCCAGCCACCAGAATTAACCCAGTCTCTGCCTGATTTCGATGGGGAAGCTCTGGTTCCGTCTGCCACTGTTAAAAGCCTTGGGGTTGTGTTGAACTCATCGCTGACGATGGAGGCCCAGATAACTGCCATAAGTAAGCAGGCCTTGTTTCATCTTCGCTAGGCAAGGAAATTGGCATCCTACCTTTTGGTAGAAGCATTGGCAACGGTAATCCACGCAACAGTCACCACTAGGTTGGACTATTGCAACGCCTTATATGCTGGCCTTCCGAAGTCAACGACCCAGAAGATTCGGATGGTCCAAAATGCGGCAGCCAGGCTGCTAGCGGGATCATCTATAAGATCCCATATTACACCGATTCTGCAACAACTGCATTGGCTACCAATAGAACATCGGATCTCTTACAAGATACTGATCCTGACATTTAGAGCTCAAAATGGCCAAGGACCTTTATATCTTAGGGACCACCTCATTCCTTTTCCCCATCAGTGGTCACCTCGATCCACCCAGGAAAATCTCCTATACATACCAGGTCCTAGGGAGGCACATTTGGAAGCTACAAGGCGTAGAGCTTTTTCGATCAATGCTCCAATTCTGTGGAACTCATTGCCTCCATACATTAGAGCAATGTCGGAGTTGCGACCTTTTGTAAAGGCGCTCAAGACTTGGCTGTTTGGTTGTGCATTTAAGTAATTGGATCAAATTTTGCCATAGTCACTGCTGAATGTTTTTTATGTTGAATGTTTTTTATGTTGAATGTTTTTATGTTGAATGTTTTTATGTTAAATGTTTTTATATTGAATGTTTTTATATTGTGTAAATGCCATTTTAAATTGTAAGTCACTCGGAGCACCTTGGTGGAGAGCGACTAATTAAGAAATAAAGTGATGATGATGATGATGATGAATGTTCACCGGGCAGTTCCATCTTTGGGAAATGGGCACAGCCTGTGAAGTGATAGCTCACCCCTGTCAATCTCATCTTCAGGAGCCAGGCATATCATAGGCTCTGTTCCCCGTTCCCAAAGACAGCACTGTAAGGTGAATATTCACACAGCAGTCACTTTGGGAGAAGGTACAGTAGTATAAGTTTGTGAATAACCATTATTGAAAAACCCATAAACGGCTAATTGTTTTGTTGGTTTTTTTCCTATGGAGGAGCAGGTGTCTTCAGCATCCAGGAAGAGCTCCTGGTTTATTTGGGGTGGGGAAGAAACCTTCTATTAAACCCTTTCTGTCCTTTTGTATAACACCAGAAGGACTTTCCCCTTGAAGCCATGTTTTAAAATTGTTTTCAAAGTGTGCAGAAAGGGATGTGGGTCCTCTGTAAAGGTCATAAACAGGATACAAACAGGATACAAAAGCGACCATTTCTTTTTCGTCTGCACTGGGGCTTTTCCCGTGTCTGGCAAGTCTCTTTTAAAAGTTCTACCTAACACCAAACACACACAAACATGAGTTATATTAAAAAGAGTGACTGAGATATGAATGCCTTATAAACATTACTAATAACAACCCTAAATCTGAATATAACTGAGCATCCCTCAACTGAAATGCTAAAATTCAAGAGTCCACAAGAGATAGTGAAACCTTTGCTTTCTGATGGTTCAGAGTACACAGAGATTTTCATGCACAAAATTATTACAAATATTATATAAAATTGCCTCAAGGCTAAGTGTAAGGTATATATGAAACTTAAATTAATCTCATATTTAGACTTGGGTAGCATCTCCCAAGATATTTCATCCAAAACACTAACGGCCCTAAGCATTCTGAATAAGGGATACTCAATCTGTTCTATAAAATGTATATATTACTTATAACCGTTATTAAGGGCATGGGGATGACTTACCTTCTGTTCCAGAAGAGAGCAGGAAACTGGCTGCTGATTTTTGTGCTGGCTTGGTTTCCTCGCTAAATTCAAAGAAAATGAAAGTGAAAGAGACGAGAATCATGATGTTTCCCACATGTTGCTAACAACACTGTGTAACAAAATTTGAAAAATGTTCTCTTACTGGTTTAAAAGCGTTTTTCCTGTTTGTGCTGTACATACATTGAAAGTAGTTTTATTACTACGAAGAATAAATATGTGCTACAAATTTGACAAGAGAGACTTTTATTTAATAGCACTCAACAAACCTCACTCTTATTTAAAAATAAGAAACCTCTTGAGCCTTTTGTGTCTTTGCTGTTTCGTTGGGATTCATGCCTTGTAGTTAATGGAGCTTTGGGGAGTTTTTAAAGAATTGTTTACAGAAGGAAGTAATTATAGTTAAAACGAGTTAAAGAGCTATAAGGGTAGCTTTGAGTTTTCTGAGCTGTAGGTCTATATCCAGGCTACGGTCATCTTAAGACTGGACTACTGTAACGCCCTCTACATTGGCCTTCCTCTGTCGTGATCCGGAAGCTCATGTTGGTACAAAATGCAGCTGCTCGGCTTCTTGCGGGAATTCCGATGAGATGCCACATAACACCAATCTTACTGCAGCTGCACTGGTTACCCATTGAACACCGGATCACTTTCAAAGTGATGGTACTCACCTTTAAGGCCTTGCATGGTCTGGGGCCAATGTACCTGAGGGACCG